TCTGTTCCCCCCCTCTCGAAATTTGATATTTCTTCTTTTCTGTGAGGCCTGAAGTCGCCTAAAGGGCTAAGGAAACCATCAAAACCCCTGCCATTTGTTATAATAATAATAGCCTTGTGGGACACGTTATCGCTGTGTGCGTCATCGTATGCCTGCATGTCTGCTCGCCAGGATTGGAGGTGCGGCGTACAACTCTGTGTGCAGCGACCGTACAAACAGTGACCAATCATCAACCTCTGTTTAACCTGATCCCCCATCCTGATCATGAGTAGCTCCATGCGTGTACACTTGATCCGTAATATACTCACTGAATAAACGTGTTCCGTGCTGTACGTCTGTTTCCTTTATAGCTGGGCTATGGCTTAGCTGGTTCTGGGAGTCTAGCTAAGTGTAGGAGGATCTGCCATAGAGATTTCTGAGTCAGTTAGGCTTTCATAAGATAGCAATCCGCTACAACCTCATATTTCACTACTAATTATTAAGGGATTTACGCTTTTTAATTAGAGGGAAAAAATTTCATTTCAGGTGTTTATAGTAGTACATTTTGATACACTGAATAGTCAGTAATGCTGTTTCTCCTATGATCCGTAATAGATACATAATGTGTTCTGTAAATAAATTCATTAATGCAAAACTGACCCAAATAAGTGGAAAGATATAAGCCGGCATTGACCGGAACGTGTGCGTACTCTATGAGAACAGTGATTTATTTTAATTTTCTTGAAAAAATGTGTTGAAAGATGTGTTTTACACGTTGCACTTACAGAGATAAAATAAGCTTAGGTGTTTGGAAATACAATAAAAATTCATGGCAATTGCATTCTAAGTTATAGGTTTTTGTATTTAGAGAACACAATAAATTCGTAATTAAAGGTATTGTTTTCCTCTATGACAATAAAGAAAGTCGCTGTGCTCTTGAGAGAAAACTTGTGTTGGATTGCCACGCGAACAACAATTGACGTATGACACGTTCTCCTCACATCAAATTCAATGCTAATACTGGATACAACGTGAAGCAAGCACTCTTGAATATACTTACTTTAAATCATAACACGCAAAACTAGTCTAAAAGATTTTCTGTCCCCCCAAAGTCGAGCAAATAGTTGGTTCGAGCAATTAAAAGGGTGAATCTGAAATGAACATATAAAACGCACGTTGACTTATTTGTTACTTTATGAAAGAGGCAACACCAGTCTGATATCCCCAGTATATTTAAGACCAAGTACATTTCACCATTCAGACATCAAATGCCTAAATTAAATAAGACCCGAATTTTGAATTGTTTGCCTTTTAACCCTTTTATGCCTCAATTATTTTTTGAAAGATGCACAAACCATAATATATACCCTTACCAAAGCACTAACGGTTAACGGTCCCCTTTAGTCCTGTTAGTTTCCCTTTTACCTACATTTTGTCCATTCAATTAACAAATACTGCGTAAAGCATACGGCTCTATGGTGATTATCGATAAGGACATTACACTTATCTCCTTGTCTATTTGCTCTTTTCCTTAGATTTGTAGAAATTTCTCGCACTTATAGGAAAGTAAAAGGGGTGTAAAAATAAATCTTGTTAGACTAGATATGTGTACATTCGTCGGCTTTTCAGCTTTATCAATCACTTGAATCGAGCTGACGTTTGCCCTCCTTGATTACCTCACCCTATTCCCCGAGTGGCAATTTATTAGGTTTAACTATTATTGGGCAAAAATGCACAGAAGAATAAACAAGAAAAGCACTTTTTCTTTACGTGTTTCCACTTGTGAAATCCCAGGCCCCTTATTTGCACATGATGAACTTATGAGTTCATGAATCGCAAAGCGTACAGACCAGATTACTATAAATACATGCCTTAATTCTTAATAGATTAAATTTCCTATTTTAACAGTAGGTAAGTTTTACATACTTGAGTTGTGAATTAATAATGGTTATATATATTTTTTAATTTTGTTTTACTAAATAAAGCAATCTTTCTTTATTTCATATAGAATAAATAATTACAATATGTCCACAGACGATGTGAGTTTTATTTTATTTCATGAATATTTTTCGTAATTTTTGTTATTGTTTTTTAAAATTTTTGCAAGATTCCAAAGGAAGAAAAAATTATTAAAAAAATCAGACCCAATTTTGGGAAACCGCATCCTGAGGGCAAGCAATGCGAACATGACAGGGAAGATAGTAAGCGTTGTTATTGTTCTTATCCCCATTCAATCCTTTTTAATAATAATACCTATTTGGTTTTTCTAATTATCACATGCAGTTAGTATTGACTGCCAGAAACATAGTTTACAATATTACCAATAAGAATGTAATAAATAAATTAATCGAATGCCAGGATTTTCCGAAAATCCGCTCATTGGGGTTAAACGGAAGATTGAATCTCATGAAACTCTATTTGGAAAAAAAATAACTGCCTATCCGAATAATCGCACATGAGAGATTATATAGGAGTAAAGTATTTCACCTAAGAGGAATATATATATATATATATATATATATATATATATTATCATGCATTTGGGAGAGTCAAGCTTTAGTCCTAAATAAAGAAAAGCTATAAGACTGCATTTTGACTTTTAACCCAAAACAACCGCGGACTTTCGGAAAAAAACTGGTATATGACTAAATGAAACACATTCAACTAACCACCTTAGTATTCAACTCGACGACATAAGCAAACCTAATTTAAGCTGTCAATGGGAAAATTGTCATAACAAAGCTGTATTATTACATCTATTTTTATTCTTTCTTAACTGAATTGTAAATCATGAAGTTATCTAAAATAAGTTATGTTAATTATCATGTTTTATTCGGTGTTTCATACTACATTTTTTAATATTTGAAAATTTTAGAAAAACACCCAAAAGGTGAGGGCCATCTCCACATTGGAAAACATGGACACGAAGGCAAACCTGGACACGAAGGCAAACCTGGACATGAAGGTGGAATCTGGCATAAAACTGACCATGGCAAAGAAGGAGAGCACCAGAAAGAAGAAGCATAATTTAACTTATTTTACATTTTTCTTTCTTTGTAACCAATAAAATATATAATTTTATTTAAACTATCATATTACATTTTGACACCGCCCAAATTGTATTAGGTTATAAATATTATTCAGTCTCCCCCATTACAAACGGGTCAGATTTTAAGCTGTTTATTAGTGGCAGATATAAGTCAAGTTACTTATGTCACTAGATCAGTTTAAAGCTATTCTTGTCGCCAATGCCTCCTAGGAAATTTATGTGCAAGCTTAGTCGAACGTAAGGACTTTAGTTATTGTTGATAAGACCTTATAAATGTGAATTGCCAGTATTTTATCGAAGTTATCAGAAAATGTACTATGCTAACGTATAAATTAAACATTTTTAATTCACTTGATTAATGGGAAATATTTGTATTTAAAAATATTAGAGTATTTTAAAAAAGAGAATCTAACCTTTATGAAAACATTAATCAATTTAATCACATTTAATCTTAACTTGTCCTGAGGAAATACCAATTAAAAAACTACTTATACTTTAATTAATTAAAAAATCCTATGAATAAAAATGTAAAACCTTCAAGTATTTCAAAAAGTATATGATTAGAAGTCATTGAAGAGGTTTATTATACCGTCTTTTACTAGCTCTTCAAAATATAATTCATTTTTATACATTTATATATTTTTAATTCAAAATCCTGATTAGTGATATTGTTCTTTCAAAAGTTATTCTATTGGTTTTCCTCCCTTATTAACAACAAGCGAGACGAATTATGATTCTAGGAACAAAGCCACATATTTCAGACTATAACTTATTAATGACAATAGTGTCAGGCGCCCATATGAGAAAACATATAAGAAATTAAAATAATATATAAAACTAATGCAAAGTTTGCAATACTTAAATAAAATTTTTAATTTATTTGAATTTGCAAATAAGAATTTATACATTAAATAAGGTATTTCCCATTATATTGTTTAATTAGACTAATGAAGTATATATTAGATGATGTCTAATTTCCCGAGTTTATGATTTTGATGAAGCCATTTCTTCACGTTTTTATTTCTTTTTCTCTTGTACTTCAATAAGTTTGATTTAATTTATGAATGATCTGACTACAAACTACTGCTTCTGATTTTTCAGTTTCTCGGTATCAACGGATTGCATAATTTTGTGTATATAATTTACTCATTACATTTGGAGATATTGCAAATTGAAACTCTGTCAATTCCTTTAAAATGTGCGATATTATGCCAACAATTACCGAGGATGGCAATTCAAGCCAAGGTGATAGGGATTCACAAGTCAGTGCAGAGGGAAATACTGTTGAAGATATGCTATTGAGTATATTGGACGAGCGTGATCGTTTAATGGAGAACTTCCAAGAAGCTCAAGAACAGCTTAATTATTCTCAGAATCGTCTCAGCGAACTTGAGCGTGAAAAGGATTGTCTATCGCGTCAACTTCGTGAAAAGATACCTGAGGTTGGAATTCGTTTTTTATTTTCATCTTCTCTCATATATTATTCGTTCATTTATATCTTTATAGTCCCGTAATAATAAACAATTAATGCATCAGATTAATTAAACATTTACTTATCTGCGTATTCATCAGTAAAATTAATGCAAACTTAATACAATTATTCAGGATATCGCCGTATTAGCCAAGGATGTTCAATTCTATCGTGATCAGTTAATGGAACGTGAGGATGAAATCCAAGAGCTAAAGGCCGAACGAAATAATACTCGAGTAAGTTCCATTGTGCAAGTTAAATCTAATTTTTGATTTGATCAATATGGTCAATCAGGCCTCCTTCATAATACCAAATTTTTCCCTTTTCTATTTTTGAAATTCCTTTTGCAAAGTCCAACCTATGGTTACCTACCATTGTGCACCAAACAGAATGGCCATTACTGTAGCATAATTCCTCTTTTCTCCTCCAATTAATCTTTGTCCTCTCGTGATAGGATACTCATCAAAGCGTTAGTCCTTTTTTGAGTAATTTTATAATTTTGGATTTGTCCGCGTTGGTTAATTGCATTAAAGAAGATTTTTGATCTCCTTTGAAGCCAACACCTACCGCAAGGCCATCGTGCCATATTTGTCTCAACGTTTTGACATCTTTTGTTTAATCATAAACTTGGCACAGAGTACTCTCTGTGCTCCATAACTCAAGGATAATCAAATTTAGGTGTAATGTAAACTACCTCACAATTATGAAGGTCAATTATGTATGACACATTTATGCTTTTACTGTTTAGTTAACCTGCCCGATACTTGGTAGATTGGAAGTCAAGTGGGAATAAATTGTCATTGATGATTCTTTGCTTATTTTGTAGTACCGAGGTTTCCTAATTGACGAAAACAGATAGTGTAAGTTTATAACCAATTAAAATGACAAACCATATTTCAGATTCTAAGCAAAATGACACCATCTGGTTAACTCTCATAATATCTGTATTGTGTAATGAGAAATAATGTTGAGGCATTAAGACGCACGCATAATCGATAGAATTATGAACTCATATGGTTCCTACTTCAACGAGTGTTTGCCAACTCATGGATCACAGACCTATTACCTATTTGTTTACATTCAGTGATGGAAATGGAGAATAATGTTAATCAATATTATGAGTAAGAGACAGTGGAGTACTATCTTCTCCCTGGAGAGAATGTATCATGTTAAATCGGAGCTAAAGTAGTGCTTCCCTTCAGTGGATGCATAATTAATACTAGAGCTTCTGAGTTAAATAAATATTCGAGAAATGCCTACTCATTTTCTTGTTATGTCTAGCTGCTATTGGAACACCTGGAGTGTCTGGTAGCTCGACACGAGCGTTCTCTACGAATGACAGTGGTAAAACGCCAAATGTCCAGTCCAGGAGGTGTTAGTTCAGAAGTCGAAGTACTCAAGGCCCTGAAATCCCTCTTTGAGCACCACAAAGCCATGGACACTCGTCTTAGAGAACGATTACGTGCTGCCCTAGAACGAGCCGCTCAACTTGAAGAAGAGGTTCGATCTTCTGCCACGGATCGAGCATCTCTTCGGGAACAATTAGCTGCGGCTCTCGCTAATATTGCTGCTAGCACCGGTGATTTTGAGAGTTCATTTTTACTAACTTTAATTTTATGCATGAGTTTGATGTTTTATATGGTCTTTAAATCTTTAACCTTTTTCTCAGTTGGAAATTAGATTAAGTTTTGATATTTCAAGCATCAAAAGTGTTATTTAACGAAGAATCTCCCTAGTAGTAGTAGTTGTGTTTCTCCCATAAATACTCGAACGGACATCTGTTCCACAGCCTAATTTAGAAGCTCATGCAGTGTGAGTGGTTTGTTAGTACTCTGAGTAACAAGTCGCCCGTTTTCAGCGTTTCAGCACTGTTTTGAGCTGAGGCATTTAAATATTTTATAAGCCTTCACTCCGACTTGGTACTCTCTTATTAAAGCGCTTTTTATTGGACAAATAGTGTGCAAGCCTCTATCAACTGTCATGACAAATCTATGCACTGAAATTGGAAGTATTTAAAAGGACCTTTTAGAGATTAAATTAAACAGTCGTAGGCTTTTGATTAAAGCAATAGAAAACTCTCCAATGCATCTACCATTTGAGCACAAATTTTCTCCACTCCGATAGTTCCCTTTGTTTCTTTATTGTTACTAATGCTGTGATCCTCAATTGAGGCAAAGCCATTTTCCATACTTATCAAGGGATTCCAAAACCATCCAACGTTATATTGCCAAAGCTATACCTTCTTTTTCTTACTCCTTGACTCCCCCAATCAATGCGCTTTCATAGTGCATTTTGTAAAGTTGATCAAATCTGAGAATTTATGGCAACCTTTCAAGCCTTTGAACTTCACTTGGAGGTTGGCCTCTAAGAGATGACTGCTAGCGGAGATTCAAAATCACTTTATATCGCCATAAATGATGCGAATGAAGGTGTGATTTTAAGGTCACTGTTTAAAATTAGTTTTTTTATGTGTGAGCGTCAGTTAATAGTCGCTCTCTCTCTAGGCTAAACTAAAATGAAGTGGAGCTTCATGTGAAGTCTTTGATCTACGCAATAGTGTACATTATTAAGATCGTGAGAATGAGCGGACCAATCAAGTGACCCCTCGGCCAGGGTCATCACTTTGAGTATAAACGAAGATTCATAGAGATGCTACGACACTGCAACTCCTTTCTAAACTCATACCTTTAGAAAGCCAACCTATTTGTTTTAACATCTGACCTGTTATTTTGCCATGTTAAAGTAGTAGTACTTACAAAATTATAGACAAATTTAAATGAGTTCCACTTTGACATGCTAACTTATTTTTCTATTATTTGATATTGGAGTTTTGTTTGGAACACTTTCCTAGAACTCGAGATTCCGCGATTCATTTATTGTCCGAATATAACAAGGAAATATTTTTACTAATCGTCCCACATATTGGTTGACTTTCAAGGACACGTGGTGAATGGTGTACCCGTGTGCAATAAAGACACAGTGTTGGAAGTATAGTACTTTTTTCTTTGATCGGTGTGGGTAATATGCAACCTCTATCCAACAATTACCCCGAAGGAAATGGAAGATTTGACGAACAGGCGAGTCGGTAGTAGAAGATTTGTGTTAGTTTTCACTTTTTTAATCCCATACAAGTGGAATTAATCGAAAAATGGCGTATTAATACTGTTTGGGCAATTAGAAATGAAAAGGAGCACTTCTGTTCTGTTTAGGCAACTGGGATATTACATACTTACTTAAATTCTAAGTCACTCAATACACGTCGAAGCTCTTGATAACAAGTGTCATTGTGCAAAGTATACCCTTTTGTTTAACAATCTCTGTGACAGGGTAAATATGTCATTTACTGGTGTGCGGTTGTACTTTGTTGGGTAGGCCATAAGATTTACACAATAAGTCACACATTCCTTCACTACATCTACATTAGGATTTCTGGATTTAGTTGACCCTTACTCGAGTAATCGTTCCATTCTTAGCAAAAAGCGCATACACACAATTAACCTCTTGGTAGAAGCTTTAGAGGATAGTGATTCACCATAACAGTTCTTTTTTCCTTAAAAGTGGAATGAGGATTAAGAGTGCGTCATTGATTCAGGCGACTTCAACTTCTCCCCGAATAGTGGCTTTAGTTAAGGCATCTATTTACAAAAAAAATGTTGTGCTTGGGTCGGTACTTCTATTAAAAGCAACGACATTCTATGCACCTATATTTTCGTATGAAAAAAAAATCATGTGGATCATTTTATTTAAGAGGGTCGCTTAGGATTCGATCCCCACCTCAATTTTCCACACAGCTACCGGGGGAAATTTGTACTTGAGAAAAAGGTGAGGCGAAAATTAGGTGAAAATGGAAATGAATTAAACGATATTCATGCCTTTATTCGCCGGGGAATGACTTTGTATCCGTCACTTGTTTGGAGTTGATTTACACTCGAGTTCATACCAAAAATTGGTCGGGGAAAGACTTTTCTTGAATTCCAACTACATTTAAACAACCGCACATTTTTTTCCACCTAAAAATCTGTCCATATTTCCATCTCTGCCTATTTGTTATTAGTTGGAAATTGAAAATTTTCGTTATGTGAATAAGTAATTTTGGCCACAAAAAAAAACTAGGACAAACTGAAGGAAGTGAAAATAAAGCAAAAGGCAGGAAGCAATCTGGGTTTCCAATCGCCAAAATGTCAAACATGTCACCTAATTTGCGCAGCACTTTTATTCTTAGAAGTCGGAGGAGGGGGGGGGGGGGGGGGNGGGAAGGGGAGCGGGGGTGACGCATATAGTCCAGGGCTAAAATGGCTGCGGTTTCATGGCGGATATGAGGCAGAAGCCATCGGTGCTACCATTTATTTACTCTTGGCTTTAGGAAGACACAATTAAATGGGAGCGGGATGACTAACACCAAAAGTGAGTTAATTTGTCCGCTAGGTTGGATTGTCGTTTACGAATTCACCTGAACCTGAGCGAAAAATTATTACACTTTGAAGATTGGAACATTACGCACTGAATCGTGCTCATGCAGATAAACCTTTTGACGGTTTGACTTACTTCTTAACCCCCACACAGTTTCACTCTTTTCTGAATTTTTCCTCTTGTCCAGACCCCTTCCTGGTATTAAACTTTGTAAGAAAAATATGCATTGTCGTGGGGGCGATTTCGGCACCTATTGCAATGTATCATTAGCTAGAACGAGGCAAGTTAAACGCATTATTATTTTGGAAATGTAACTTCTGGAACTTTTCCATGGACGGTAGTGTTTGTCGGTGTGGGGTTGAAAATTCCTCACGAGCTTTTCAGTGGTGAGTCGAACTCGTTTTGTGTAATCAGCACAATGGATCTGTCTGAAAGGGAAATGAAATTTATGACAACTCTATTCTGTTCGAACCCAATAATAATAATAATAATAAAGTTGGACATTTGAGTTAATTTTCTTCTTTAGTGTCTCAACGTACAACTTCTGTTGTTTTAAACTTGTTGAGTTTCATCTCCATATATATTTTTTAATTTCAAATGAATTGGAATTATTTGGTAAAGTTCGCATGGATTCACTTCCACGTTCATGAAAATTAAACATTCAATTAATAAAAAGTGATGAATCGAACAAATTTACGCCGTCCATGGTTTTAAGAGGCACTCTGTCTTCTGATTTCACCCCTCCCTTCCAATGAATAGTACGTTTTCTATTGCCTTTATACTCAACTCTCAAATAGTTCTCTTCGCTACATTGTTTGTCTTGCCGTTGGTGTTGGTTAAAATTGACACCTTATACTTACATAATTAAGTAACTATCTGATTGCTTCTATTTATCGAAGGGAAATGAGTAAATTGTGGGGTGTTAATTGGCATGCAGCGGCTAATTGCAACATGTAGCTGTTTGCTCTGCTGGAACTCTGTCAATTTATACAAAACAATTTTCTTGACACATAGCGGTCGCAATACTTTCGAATAGAAGAAGGTCAAATGTTGAGTGCAAATGACACATTAAATTATAATGAGTCATGCAGTTGGCATTCGTTGAAGAAATGATGATTGTCCTAAGCCCTTCCTCTAACAGTAGTAGTTAGCGATATTTTCTTGAATATTCGACATAATCTTCTCTCCTTTATATTCTTTACCAAATCAAATACTACGAATTTCGCTTTGGTCGTACTGTCAGTGTTTTCTTTTGCTATTTAATGCAGAATTCGGAAAAAATAAATTTAAAAAATCCTTTTTACGCTGCGTCCCAGTGCATGCTTCGACATCAATGTGAAGCACCCTTAATTCTCTCCTTATTTATTTTTTAATAAATCACTCACTATTTTTGCTTTCTAACAGCCAAAGTCACAATTTAGAATACGGAAAGAGCTATGTACAGTTGTTATTGTGGAAACTAATTGAATCCTTTTCCAAATATGTTACTTTATTTCACCGCGTTTCAGCTCATGTAGTCAATGTGAGGATTAGGCATAATTTCAATTAAATGAGAAGAAACTTAAATGTTTGCAGAATTTTTTAACTGAGTATATTTAACATTTTTTGTATTTTATTTATTCCTCGATAAGTCCCTTTGATTATTATTAATTGTTTGATAGGCTATTTAATCGATTTGTGTTTTGTTAAATTGCTATTCTTACGTGGTTGGATTTCAAATAGTAAAAAATGTGCTTATATATTTTTAGGTCATACCAATCGGCTATCTGGCCCTATTAAATTAAACTCCAATAACGATACCAATATCGCCAACATCATCACCACCACTGCCATGTCATGCATAAATCCGCCACTTAACAGAGAAAATATGAGATGGGGAGGGGGAGAGAGAGAATCACGAAATGGAGAAAAGATGTAGTCAAGCGCGCCAACTGGCATAGAGATAGTTAATTGAATTTGCCTTGGTTTGGCACGTGAATTCACGCCGTCGACATTCGCACCTAAATGAGTCACATGTATAGTTAAATCATTTTCTGTTTTCTCTCACTCCTTTACACCACCATGACGCCTCATGTTTCCTCACTTAAATGTGGAATCTAGGGCCCTCTCTAGCTCACATCTGGTTTAGCAATAACGATTAAATCAGTTAGTTAGGAAGTCAAATAGGGTACTTTCTTTTATTGTTCTGATTTATCGATTATTGCTTTTTTATGCTCGTGCCTGGGAATGTAATTTTGTTAATATATTGTTAGTTAAACGGTAAAGTAATCAATATCTACGCCCTCCATTCTACATGCACTTATTTATTTCCTTAATAATGGGATGCCAGTCTCTACGTTCTAGGCCTTCTCCCATCTCCTGGATCAATGAAAGTGTATCTGTAAGCTAAAATCAGCTGTAAAACAATAATTTATCAGAGGAAACTGAAATTATACCTAGGGTTTTATATTGTTACATCAATGGTGACAAATCTTTTATGTTAATTTAGTTATAAGGGGGTTCTTGATGGGGTTGATGAGCTCAGTATAATTGCACCTGATTAAAAAGTGCCTATGTACTCTCCTGAACACAATACTCGGATTTATTGGAACCAGAGTGAGCACTTCTAATGTCAGGGTTCAATTACTCGGTTTTGAGAAGCATGCAAATTTAATCATATCTAATATTTTCATAGACGTATTGATTTTTTATCCGGTGTCTCGAATTTCGCCATTTGAACCAATGAATTAGATGGTAGGTTCAAATCGAAACTGGTGCTATAAACTTCATGAGTTTCATTGGTTAATACTTACTATAAAATATGAAATTCAATTGAAACCTCTTCCCAACTCTTTCCAAAATGCTACTTCCTTTTTATTACCTGAATCCCAAGCACGATGTGGAGAAGGACCTTTGAGGAAGAAATAACTCCCAATTTTATAAATTTCAATCGATTTTGGTAGTTTATGATGTCAGTTTCAATGCTTTAATCAGCCATCTTGTCATCATTGCCTTGTCTAGCATACGCTTGCGACGGCTAAATTGCCTAAGCATTCATTGATTTCAAATATTCCCAGACCTATTTCCTCCGGTTATCATGCATATTTGATCGAGTAAATGGGAATTCGGTAGCTTTTGCGTGACTAAGCATGGCTTGTGATGGGTAGTGAAATCTAATGAACTTTGATAAAGTAAACAAAATCAGGCTAAAATTGTGCATATGGAGAGGTTGTCTGGGCGTCTGAATTAAGAAAAACTTGCCATTAAGCTCTGGACCTTATAGCATTCAAAAACTAAAAAAAGCTGGGCTGATTCCTCGACGGGTGAATAACGCGCAACCTCAATTGAAATATAAAAGCACTTTAGTGTAATGCTTTGGATACATTTATTTTTTAATTTCGATCCTCTTCCTTTATTGTAACTTGCTCCTCAAATTCTTTTCCACAACAACAAGTAGTGAAAATTGTCCTGTCATCGTATTAACTACTACCATATTGTAATGAGCGCAATTTCTGTTCTTCCTCTCCTCGAGTAGTCACTACGAGTCATGTAACCCATTTTGATATCTCCCAGTATACGTCTTTCGATGTGATATGATTTGGGTGCAAAAACTACTGAAAAACGAGCTTAATGTATTTACAACTGAATGGACCTCTCGTTGTTCTCTGATGTCTCTCTCTCTCTCTCACACACAACTTTGTTTTATTTTGAGGCTCATGTTTTATATGGGTAGGTGTGTGAGCGTTTGACGTCGATACTACGAAAATAATTTCTGCTCTCTAAAATTTTCCTCACATCTCATCCCCCCCCCTCTCCCCCTCCCCCCAACCCGCACCCATTTTGAGAGCTGAACCATTTTGACTTCAGCATCAGTTATTGCTCCCTTGTTAAATCCCAGGGCACTGTATTGTTGTTAACGGAGGAAAAAGCTTATTATCTATTTATTTTAAGTTTTATCCATCTCCATCAAAGATATCCGCGTTAATCCACACTCAGGCGTGTCGGTAATGTCCTAGTAAGTCACACGATTTGGACCGATTCTTCCCTAAAAGAAGAAATAGCCCTTCTATGTTATTTTATCACTCTTGGTTTTACGAATTGGTCGTTGGTGGTTATCCGATTCTCTTTACCTCTCCTCCTCCCCCCCCCCACCCTCCCTCCCTCCCTCCCTCCTGGTTTCTGATTCCGGTTAAGACCATTCTTGTGGGTTCTAAAAAAGTGCAAAAATATAAATTTGATTTACTTAGTGACTTGAGTACTTTGAGCGGAATAAAAAGGGAGTGTTGGATGGTTGGTGGTAATATCATTCTGAAATGCCCTTTTAGCAATGTAAGTCTCCAAATCTCTATGGAGATTCATTATATTGAAAGAGAACTTTCTATTTCTATTCCTCGCCATCGAGGAAAGTTGTATGCGTTCTTAGGTAGGCTCAGAATATAATTTTCTCTTATTACTAACCGGTTTCCTTGCAATGAGCTATCTTTGCCCCCCCCCCAAGTGAGGCCCACTTCATCATCACCACAGCTCAGTGTGTCCTTGCCTCTCGTTCCCCGTTTTCGACGTCTACACCAATACGGCCCGAATTTCATATTCTATTGCGGTTTTATCACCAATTTTAGCTAATTGTAGGTTTTACAGTCGTATTGAATTTCAAAAAGAAATCAATCGGCTTTTAATTTTGACATCCATAAATAGTGCAGTTTGTTTAATATTTTGCGTGCCAGGGAACTACAGCCACCCATTTATTCCAAAATATTAACTTCCTTTTTTAGCAAATAAAGTGCAGTAATGAGAGAACAAATTAGGCCATTAAGATGTGCTTGAGATGCAGTTGAAATGATAACCTTCATATTTATTTCCTCAAGGCTTATTTGACATATTGGAAGCAACTCTATTTGAGCACAGGTCATAATTTAATTGGTTTCTTACAATGTCAATAAGAGAGAGGGGGGGGGTAGAATAAATGACTAAAACCCTCAAACGTTTGGTGTATTCCTCTATTTATGCAAAATTATAGTACCATTAGGTGGATTATCAATCCTACTCATGTGTCATCTCTTTGCTAGTTTTTCTTTTGAAACAAATAGAAAATAGTTTTTCTGAGTGGAATTACCACACCGTTTTACGCTTTCTGATTGGTAAATGGTTTATTCAAAGCAATTTAATGAATTGAAAGCAACAAAAAATAACAGCTATCGAGACAAAAGATAGGGGTTATGCGAATATGGAATAATTTCTACCCGGAAAAGTTCCGTTGTGAAAGCAACTTAATTTGTTGGGAAGCGATCTCAGACAAGGTGTTAAATGTATAGATATGTGCGTGCGTGCGTGTGTGTATGTGTGCGTGGGTGGATGTGTGCGTGTATGCGTGTGTATACTCGATACTTAGCATCACCATACAGTGTCTGAATTATAGAATAGAATTAGCTTTCACTTACAACGGAAAAAAACAGGGACTACCTCGAGTTATAACGACAGAATTGCCATTTTCACATCCCCCAAGCAGAACCTCGTCTCAGAATGCTATTTTTTTCAACCTCATGTTCTTTGCCTTCTTTTTTTTCTAATCTGCATATTTATGTACAAATCTCCATTTTGTTTCTATTAAATGCGACTTCCGAAATATGTGATAAAAAGTACTTTCGATCTCTCATTTTGGCAATTTCTTTGCTTGCACTTACTGCAATTTCGAGGAAAGTGAAGTTTTAAAGCAATTCATTGCCTTCCTATTAATTGATTGATATCAGGACCAAATTACGCATAAAACTTGATGATAAAAACTTACCAATGACCTAAGAATAGAATCCATCAAAATAAGTCCCTCGCACACATTTATTTATTTACTTATATCAAATGGCATTCTTTATGTAAGCCAGCATTAGTCCTTTAATTGACTTCGGGCTCCACAGAGGGGAGAAGCATCAAAGTGACAAAAAGTTGAGAGGGGAACAGGAGGGGGATTCACAGATGTAAAAGAGACAGACAGACACAAAAGTAGAGAAAAAGGGTAAGATGGGTACTGCGAAAGTGGTTGAATATGATGTGTAGTGGGGTCATGGTAGTTTGAAGTCAAAAGTCAACTGTCGATTAATTGACTTTTTGCTGTATTAGTATACGTTACCCAGGGTGCACTACGTGGAGGTAAGTCTACCACGCACCCATACCACACACATTAGTTAAGTGAAAAAAAAAATTTTTAAAGAGTGAAAATTTGCTAATTGTTTTGTTTTATTTGCGGATTCATGTAAATTGGTAAAAAATATTAATATTTTGTTGATAAATGAAGAAATCAGTTTAGTTGTACTCTAATAAGTGTTCAATAATCTGGCTCTAAAATCCTCTTTGGTGGTACCAATTGATTGGAACTAACAGGCTATATTTAAAACTAACCTCCGAAGGCAATACCCATGTTGGAGTTGTTGCGTAGCGTATCTAGAACCAACTGCCACTCACCATGAACGCGGTCTACGCAATAAACTCTCTTTGAAATCCTACATAATAAAGGGGAGATATATTCCATTTGGACTATTTACTAGGACGAGAATTTGCATGCAAGGCCTAACTCCCAGAACCCACTCTATATTCAAAGAGGCTGCAACAAAAAAGTTGAGCTGAATTTTATAATTTTTTTGATCTGAGCTTTAGTTAACTGGTTTGATGCAAGCATTAAACAATTTATCACAGTTATTAGCTCATATTTTGGATTTCACCTCTTTTTTTAAAAACCATCCTTTTATTAAAAAAGATAGTAATAAATGAAGATATTTGTTTTAAAAAATTATTATCATGTTTTTTTGTTGTTGTTGTTGAATAAAGGCAATGGAGTGGCCTCGGATTTAGATGTTAAGATGGATGGAAAGGAAGCCGCCAGTGATTCTCAAATTCCTGGGGGTTCCACAATGAATGGTACTTGTGGTGATGGCAATGACACCGTGGACGGTAGCAGCTCCACAAATTATGCTGCTGTTGCCGCTGCAGCCGCCGCCAGTGCTGCTGCCACCGAGAGAAAACTCGTCGAAGTGACCGAAAGAGCACGTGATCTCGACTCGACGATCTCCACACTGCAGAAGGAGCTTGGACGGGCGCAAGATCAGGTAAATTATATGCTTGATATATTTGTGTCGTGGGGTCTTGATGTATTTCCAAGATTGGAATAAGTCTAATGACTCAAGTTGAGAACGAAGTGTGATAGTGACTAAAGTTACAAGACAACGTGGAATTTCATTTAGTCTGAATTATCTAATCGAAATTTCTCTTTGAGATCCATGTTGCCAATTTTCGCGACAGGTTGAAATGGAAAAATGAGGGGCGGGACTATTAGATTACTAGTAAATGAGATACGATTGGCTATTGTGATAAGCTTCGTTATAACTAGTGAATTGTAAAATATGTTGCTCTATATGGACTTGTGAAATGAAGGATGGATGTTGCATTTTTACATGCATGCTGTATTGGCAATCAAGTTCGTATATTATTTTCACTTTTTAACTCAAAAAGACTCCTATTCAACGGAACTCCTGATACTCTTGGTTATGGTAATCCACTCCAACGGTAGTGGACATTTGCAACTGCAGCTTTACTGAAAATAATTAGCTTTCATTTACCTCCAAGTCAAAGTACCACTTTTTTTCTAGTTGTGAGTGAAAAATTTAAGCATATAAATGAACTATCTGATACAATGCTGCAAAAATTGCTTTGTCAAGTTCCGTTTCCTTTCATAAATGCTTATTAAGGAGCATGTAACCATTTTGAGGTCTTGTTTTTTTTCCAAAATCCCTCCCATGGAGTTCATTCTTTTGCCATTCCGGAAGACATACCTCTAAGTCTTACAAGAACGCTCTTTCATGAAGTCTCGGCCACTGGCAATCTAGCAAATAGTTACTCAGACTCATGGTTTCCTTTTTCCTCTGTGTTCTGACAGTTACCTCTCCTCATTATTCCCCTCCCCCGCGTCTTGGGCACAGTTTTCAAATCTTCTCTTTCAAAGCACGACAAGTGACGTCATAAAATTATTCGCAACAGAATGTGGCGAGGTGGGGAACAGAAGAATAGTTCACAGATGTAAAAGAGACAAACAGATGCAAAAGCAGAGAAAAAGATAAGATGAGTACTGTGGAAGTGGTGGAATATGCCACGCAGTAGGGTCATGGTAGTTTTAAGTCTGAAGTCAACTGTCAGTTAATAGACTTTTTGCCGTATGAGTAAGTGATAAGTCAACTGCCGGTTAATAGACTTTTTTGCCGTATGAGTGGGTTGCCCAGGGTGCACCGCGTGGAGGTAAGTCTATCGCAATTGCCCAGTGTGCACCACGTGGAGGTAAGTCGATCGCACACCCCGCCGTCATAAACTTATTCGCACTATCTAATTTCCTTGTCAAGAGCGCTTAAAATTGTTTGTGCTTCTCCACTTTTGCCAGTGGTGGTCTTTTTAGTGCTCTTTGTACTCTTTTATAATCTCAACAGCTGTAAATGAACATCCTTCAGGTTTTATTTTTTAAAATATTTAAGTGTCTACTTTCTTACCAGTATTCAAGTACTACAAATTGATATTCACCTGAGGTACTTAAATGAACCATCTTCCGAAGGTCAGAACACCGAAGTTATTGTAATGGATGGGGAGTAAAATTTGCCCAATGATTTGAAAGAATTAAAAAAATAATAAAAATTATAATTACCCTAAAAGACCCATTGTAGGAACTATATAAGCACTGTCACTTGTAGGGTGAGAAAAGTGATGGGATGTCATTTTCAACTCAGAAGAACAGCGATAGATAAATTTCGAACCGAAAAGAAGAAGTATGCTCTCTTAGTTCTACTGCCCTTGCCCTGGGTATGGAGCATACTCTACTCTGTCATCTAAGCATGGGGATGCTTGAAATTTGCCTTAACATCGAAACACTGAGGAACGTCATTACTAATTTTTGTTAGGACAAAGACTGTATTTTCTCATAATTCTGCTAGAACCAAGAATATCTCATTTATCTGCTCTGTTTCCACTTGAATTACGAACTTACTAATTAGAATGATCATCAAGTTTCCTTCCAAATTCGAAGTACTTACTTTATTATTTCAATGGTAATTTTATTGTGGAAAAATTGGTTTATGTAGGGGAGCAAGGTTGTTGAAGACACCTTTGTTTCTACTTGAGCATAATTGTAATTGATCAGGTTGTGAGTTTTTTTCCATCACGAAACTGCAATTTTTGATTCAACACTTTGTGATCTTATATAAATCGATTATGCACAATCGCTTGGGTGATGGCAACACACACATACGCCTTCTCTTCCCATTTCATCTTAAATTGTCTTTTTAAATGTGCGAAATTCAGTTAATTTATCGGTATTTGACTCCCACATGTAAATGCCCAAGGTTTTTTTACTAGCACATGAAACAAATGGGCGATCGTTTTTGTAATCATTTTTTGTAATTTAACGCTTATCTTAGAGGGAACAGCCTATTCAGTCAGGTGGTTTGAGACTACCTACGTTGATTACTAGCACTGCTTCATATTGCGCATTGGTAAAATATAAGGACCTGCACATATTAGATCATTCTAGAAGTAATATCTCCTACTGTTAGCCGAAGTATTCTCGATGAAGGAGTCATGCTAAGTTGTGTATCGGAGTTAGCCATAGGCACTTTTAACACTTCCAGAGAATTATCGAATGCACAGTATATTGTTACTTATGATATTCTGTATTGACTTCTTTTTAATTGAAAAATAAAACATTAATTAGCCTTCTGCCTTCACATGGAGCTTCTTTTATCTACAATTTTTCAAACCCGATAGAAAGAAGGTAGAAGTCCCACAAAAAATTGAAATCGATAACAGATATTGGAAATTAAGACTCCCGGGTTAGGTAATACTGCAAGACAGCCGAGATTACACTCTCAATCACGAGGATAGGAAATCAATACCTATTGATTCACCCCATCGGAATCTCGTTCGAAGGTACTTTCATATTCTCTCTCCTTCACACAGTATCCGGCATTAATTCGCACCTCAAGTTTTAATCCCTAAGTGGGGGGATTAACTAAGCTACTCAAAATGAGGCTTTATTAGCATAAGTGGATCGTAGAGGGGCGTCGTCGTCACCAGCTGTTTAGCCAGCTTCGGTTTAAGCCAATGTGTGGCTTATTTTTTTCACCAAATATTTGCTAATGTAAGCGCTCTCTCTCTCGGCTCTATGCAGGCGTGTCAACACAACAATGAGGGGGTGGGGACTGCTTATTTTATTCCATTCCGTAATTGGGCGGTGGAGAAGCTATAATGGAATTGTAATTAGGTCACATAAATCAAGCTTAATGATGAGAATGCTGCGCGCTCATTATAATTTGTCAGTCAGGAAACAAATTCGCCAGGACAGCTGGTTAGGAATTGGGAATTTTTAAGTGAACTTTCTAGATTTGGCTTTGGATATATCCATTGGTGATGCCTTTGTGTCACTCAGGGAAGCCGAAAGCACAATTTGTTTGAGGAAGTTTATGAGTATATTTTTTTGCGTCTATGGATTACATTGGGTTAACTGTTACAAGTAAAACTTCTTTCTGTGCAAATTCGAGCGGTCTTGTTATTTCAACAAGCGGAGGGGATTTATATAATAATTTCGAAATCTGTGCTCTGTTAAGCAAGTGTTGAACAGATAGGTGGATTTGTCAAATCGTACAATCTCATTTTATTGAAGTCCATATTTCTGGCATTGTTTGGTGGTGTTTCTCTAAAGGAATACCGTTAACGAATCCATTTCAAATAAATACACTTTGAGAGATCAAAATATATCTACTAAATTGAAATTTGTGTGGCCTGTTTTAAATGACGTGTTAAGTGATTTTCACTGTCGTAAAACTTTGGGATCGATGAAATTGCATGGCAACTCATCAGAAAGGAAGCAAGTCCACTGAACTAAGAGTGGAATACCTGAACACTTTGAGACCAAAGACAATGCATCAAACAGTCTAAATAAATTTGAGTTCCGAATTCGGGTTCTAAAATATTTACTCACTGAGTAGCTCAAGCTTTATGTCGATCAGTTTAGGATGCCAATGCGTTTGGCTACTTCCATAGGTTGAGACACAGGATAATCTTACATGGTAATAGGCAGTTTGCATGTTCTTAGCATTGCAGAATTGAGTTTTTTAATTGATTGTACTATTTAAAGTTTATTTCAAATATAAAGGTGACAAGAATGCAGCGAGATCTCCGGGAATCTGAGGCACAACGGGAGGACCAAGAAGCACGGATTTCGACGCTGGAACAGCGCTACCTCGCAGCCCAGCATGATGCTACCGCAGCTCACGAAAAGGCTAATCGCATTGGCGCTGATCTTATTAGTCGGGATTCTGAACTCAAACAGGTTAATTTGCGTTCATTTTTCGTAGTTACTTTGAAATACACTGAATCTGTGCTTATGATAAGTATTTTAAATGAGTTTACATTAATAGTTGTTTAAATATAGACAGGGTATTTTGTTTAGCTGATTTGTAGACACTTTACTCTGTTGATTATTTATAAATATATAAAAAATGAATATATATATATATATATATATATATATATATATATAATATTCCGTTATATATATATATATATATATATATATATATATATATATAACGGAATAAAGAGTTTACTAAGAAATATAGATTCAGGTAGTCGGAGAGGTAACCAATCACACTGCACTTTTCACCTTGTTTATTCGAATTGGGAAATTTTAGAAACAATGTGTAGGAACTCTTTGGAATGCCTTAATATCGTTCAACCTTAAAGCCAATATTGCTTGAAAAAAAGAATAATCTTCCTTAATTTACACTCTGTCAGCAGTAAGTAAAATAATTTTAAATCAATTTGAGTCAATCGTTAAAGGGAACTGTGTAAGATGGTGAACCTATATGATGGAGGGAGTTCTGTAATCTCTCCCATATTGCATTGAAACAAATTATGCACGCATTTAGAATTAATTAATGGATGAGAACACGCGAATAGATGAGCAAGCACTGCTTGATAATGATACTCGTTTTAATTTGACACACTACCTACGTTCGTCATCAGCGTAGATGAGTGAAGTGCAACTGAACGGATCTGCATGCCCACCAAGTAGTTAGGCAGTGTTGTGTTGTGTCATTAGCGACTAATCGGCTTGTTAACAAGCTGCAAGAGTAATAATTATTGACATTTCTTCCCTGCTTACAACCGAGGTTGCTATGGCAGATTTTTATGTCTTAGGGCTGATAATTTTTACTCGTCATTCTCATGTGCTTCTCACCCATCATCGCATATCAAGAGCTCAGAATTCTGACTTAAGATCTAGTATCAATTCCTGAAACAGGGGGTTTTGGACTATCTTTTGCCTAATCTAAAGATTTAAAACAGATTTAAAGAAAAAATTTGCCAGTCCACTTAAGCAGTGGGTAATAGGAATTAAGTGGGTACAAAATAATTAATTTGGAAGTTGTGTCTAATATCCCCTCCCCTTTGCAATTTTTTTCTAGTCTGAAGAGCGAGGTAACCACCTACGAGTTGAGGTAGACATGCTTCGAAACAAAAATGAAGACCTCCAAGTTCTCCTTGAGAAGTATCAAAGCCAAGAGGGTGGCCAATTGTCGTCTATAGCCTCCGGTAACGCCGACACCACGTTAGATCAAGCTGGGAGCTCTGTGGATGATAAAGAGTCCAATATTCGAGCAATGCGGGCAGAGCTCAGCCAAGCTGATGATCGGCTACGAGAGGTGCAGGCTGCCATGGCGGAAACGCAGGCTGAACTGCAGCGAGCTAGACAACGTGAACGACTCAATGAGGAGCATAGTGCTCGACTTACTGCAACTGTAAGATTACACTTTCTTAATGATTACTGGATTCGCATTATCCAGAGTGAACTACTGTGACTTAGATAAATTATCATGTAGTTTCTATCGATATAATGGGAACTATTATTGAACCATTCACTCTCTTCTCAGAATTAAGATACCATTTTTCTACTAGCAGTTCTTTTTAAGTAGAATCTAGAATTGGAACTTCCTCAGTGCCTTTTATCAAAATTAGCCTCTGAGTAACGTAAAAAGCGCTCTATCAAAGTGAGTTCAGATTAAGAAAGACAAAAATTTTTTTTTCATGGTGAATGAATTCGATCTGATCATGAACGAAGGGAGTTGAAATAGGGGAAATCTAGGTTTTTGGTGTTGTCAGATCTCGTTTACGTCCTTTCAAAAGTCATGAACTTCAAGTAAACTTTATTCGCACGTCTTCCAAATATTCGACATATCATCTAAACCAAAGGCCACTTTATCGATGCTGCTTAAAGCGTAACCGATTAAGTGAATATCTGGCAGGACTGATTGTATCTGGAGAGTGGACGAAGTGGGAGGCTCTCGATAGTTGGTCTCTTAGTTCTCCTCAGTGGATGTACAATGTATGCGTTGAAGTTGCCTTTAATAGCTTCATTCAACGTAAGCATTGGATCCTTTGGAGCAACAAATCAAATAATTAAGGTGGTGGGAATTGCCTTAATTTCACTGATAAACGTTAGCTTTAGGTAAACCATCAATTGAATGGAAGATCGGAATTTGAATGGATAGCACTGACCCCATTCTTTTAACCAACTTTACGCAAAGAATAATGAGGCATAATTTCTAACAAAGATTTTATTTCATAGTGAATTTTCGATCCAATTTATGGCAAATTTTCATATGTAGTAAGAGAGAGAGTGTGTGTATGAGATTAAGACGTTCCCCTTATTTAACGAACATCGGCATAATTTCTAAATGCCATTTATTGGTTCCAGAGCTATTGTGTTTAGTGTTTAGTCTTGGGGGGGGGGGGGTTTTTTTTGCATAACCTTTTAAATTTCCATCGCAATGTTCTTTTATGTACACTTTGGGTTTTCTCCAAAAGTCATGAAACACATACAATTATAACAGAAGCCCATTCAATGTCCTGTGTGAAGGATGTTTTTTCTCCCAGCAGGCAACTTTATTCCCTTATAACTAGATGATTTATAACTCTTCTATTATGACCACAGCGTTATTTTGTAAATTGAAATTGGACAAGACAATCTCCCCTAAGTTAGCCACTAATCTCAAATAAAATTCTTCCAAATCTCCATCAAAATGAAGGCTTTTGAATAGCCATTTATTTTAATTACCTTTTTCCTCATGGGATAGGGCTATGCTGAAGTTGCTCAAGTGGATATTAGAAAATGCAATTTAATTGAGATTCTGCATTAGGGCAACTTGACCAACTGTTCAAAGAAGATAATCTATATTTTATGTGGAGGTGGGGTGGGGGTGGACGTTCATCGTCTATCGAGTTTATGCAGCTGTTGTAGACGCTTTATTGCCGTCGCTGTGGTAACTGATATGTACTAAAAGATTACGAAAAGAAAAAAAGTGCAAACCAATTGAAAATTTGCGGGAGTGTTTTACGTCGTAATAACTTCATTGCCAGACTAATGAAGAGGATTTTTAATCAGGCAATTCGTTACAAAACACATCTTAATTTTGGTTTTGCTATCCCCATTCAACTCCCTGAAATTTAATGTGGGTCGCTAGAGGTGTCTCAACTGTTGGTAGACGCGAATGAGTCATCTTTTTGGGGAAGTTGTAATTGGACTGCGTAATTGCAATGAAGTATGGCGCGGCTGTTTACGTTCTCTATTGATCACTAAGAATATCGACGATGTCGGAAAGAAATAGAGTTTTAAAAATGCCCTTGGTTTTTTTGTTGATTCCACCCTCATTTCAATAACCCCCCCCCCACGATCGATAAACAATCAATTATTTTCTCCTTTTACTCTTTCTCTGTGTATTGATTTGTGTTGAATTTCAAGACACCTTGTTTCAAGTTGGTGTCCTCCAGAAAAAAAATCGAATCTACCTAGAGATAAATGAAATCTAAATTTTCAAGCAAAGTATTTAGTTTTGACGAGGCCTGTTTTTTGCTTATTTCTTCACTTCGAAAAAAATCACCTTCTTTTTTGGAAATCTTCCCGTCTTAGTAGATTTCATTGAAATTAACCAAAAGCTCTTCCCCATGGTATAGCCCTATTGTTGCATCTATTCTCCTTCTTGCAAGGTGATATTGTTTGCAATGTGGATTTAATGGGACTAAAATAAATCAGTTCATGAAATGAAAGCCTTTCTTCAATCTTGATTAAAATGTCATAGCCAACCAGTACTTATTTCTGGTGCGAAAACGTCTAACCACCGAGTTTCGGCAAAAACTGAACTGCATAAAGGTTCGTCTCGTAGCATATTCTCCTTTCACCTTCAGATTCAATTCTGTGTTTGTTTAAATAAATTTAGCACTTGATCTGGTTTAAAAAATGGTACACATCAGATTACGACCATAAAAAATAACGAGAAAAAACGGGAATAAATGCGTTCAAAATTACCTTTACCAAACATAATATGCTATTTTCACGCTGTTTTCAAGGAGACGAAAGGGAGTATTTGGCATCATTTATTCCACCCCCCCCCCCCCCGCCATTTTTTCATCCTGACTGAATATTTTGAAGGAACTTTTTATTGGGCCGACTGGTTGGATTAAGTGTCAAGTGTTGCACACAAAGTTGCACCATTTTGTATCACCTGTATTACATTCGGAGTGGATAGTACGCTTATTTTAACAGTGGAATAATCATGTAAATGACAGATCGCCGATCGACTTAAATAAGTGCATTAGTATCTTGTTGAAGATATCTCATGCATTTATCAAATTCATCAAAGACGAGAGGAGTCTCGAGTCTTGCTGAAAAGCTGTGTTTTCCAATTATTTACTTATTTATTTCAAATGGCAGGCGTTATGACAGTTATCATTAGCCCTTTAGCTGACTTCGGGCTTCACAGAGAGGAGGAGGAGTAACATCAAAGTGACAAAAAGTTGAGAGGGAGGGGGGGGGGGGAAACAGAATAGTGTTGCAAAGGCGCAAAATGGACAGACACAAAGGTGGAGAAAACGGTATGTTAAGTACTGTGGGAGTGGTAGAATATGACATATAATAGGGTCATGGTAGTTTAAAGTGAGAAGTCAACTGCCGGTTTATAGGCTTTGTTGTCGCGTGAGTATATGTTGCCCAGGATGCACCACGTGGATTGTTTTCCAATTATTTTCTTAACCAAAAGACATTTCTAAAGTCTTTGTTGATGAGGATTTCGCATTAAATTACCTTTTAATTCCCTTTTAATCTTAACGGTGATTAGTACCGTTCAAAGGATATGCCTCGGCCCCTCCCCTCCCTCCTTCAAGGAGTATTGAGTTCAAACTTGCTGGCCTTCAGAGGCAACTGAAAGAATCCCTCATTTTTAATAAACTATTATTTTCTTACAAATAATGCTATTGTCCACATTTTAACCAAGGGGAAGCAAACTGAGATGAAATTAGGGTATTAGAGGTCTCACTTGATTTTTTATAATTCTAAAAGCACTGAGTTGTTCAAGTTATCGAAAGCAGGATCATTCAAGTTGCAGTTACCTCAATGCTCAAATTTCATGAAGGACCCTCCTGGCTGACTTACTTCCACGTTTATTCGGGTTAGCCTGATTTACTTATGCCTCGTGGAGGTAGATGACATTTCCACCAATATTATCATAACACCGAAAATGTTCAATGAGACTTCCAAGACTTATATATAACATACGAAATTCGATCAACCATGTTAATTCGCTTTCATCTTGCAGGTTGACAAGCTCTTACTGGAGTCAAACGAACGACTGCAAACCCACCTTCGTGAGAAGATGGCAGTAATGGAGGAAAAGAACCAGCTGACCGGTGAATTAGATCGCGTTCGACGTCAAGTGGAATCCATCCAGTCGGAGCGCGATCGTCTTGTCAATGAACTCGATAGAGTTCGTAGACAAGCTTCGCTGGCTGAATCCTTAGATCTAACTAACCTTAACAGTAAGTGTTGTTTCAGAATACTTGTATATGCTAAGCCCACCCCACACCCACACCCCCTCCCCTCGTTATTTTTTGTATACGGAATGTTGATAAATATTTGCTATTGTCAACTAACTGTCACTTAACTTTCATTTGAAGGTATACATGGCATGTGTAGAATTAGATCACATTTAATTTGCACAATTGGTTGCCTATCTAGGCCTTTCTGTTCGAATCCCGCCATTTTACATTCGCCTTTCTTTACTGATCATTCCAGCTGCATTCTACAAAGCAATAATTCATGGTTAATTCATTAAAGTATCCATTCAGTGGACTTCCTACGGTCTCTCAGTTGTCACTATTCCAACTATAATACCTATTACAGTATGAATATGCTCATATAAAGTCATTTACATTGCCCAAGGCGCTGCAGCAGTAGGCGTATTAGTAGCGCCCCATTGGACCTAAGTTTACGAAGTGGATATAGGACTGTTAACTGATTCAGATAGTCTCAGATGTCACTAATGGTCACACCTCTCACCACCACAGCGGTTTATCCAGTATCGGGCGTCTTGCGACTGCAGCAGAAACAAAATCAAGAACGACTAGCCCACCACTCTCAGCGTATATTACCCCCACATCGACCCGCCAGTCTCTATCTTTCCAACACAGTTGTGTTCAATGATGGCTACATGACGCCAAAGAAACGACAAAGTTGTAGCCAGATGAATAGCTTTGGAGGATCGTCAATCATAGCGCCTAAATGTGTGTTTGCCGCGCTTATTCGCTCCCATTACACTTTGGTCTCTCTCTCTCTAACACCTAATGCAGGTCATCCCTTCGCTACATTACCTCACGCCAATCAGATTTATTTCTGGGCACACTCTTGTTGCTGCTAGCTTTTTGCTTCCTTCTTTCATGGTAATTGCTTAACACCAAACATCGCTTTCAGCACTGTGTGCATTTAATAACCTGGTTGGCATGGTGATAAAAAGGTGATACCAAGTCAGTCTTAATTGGTCTGGCGAGAAATCACCTAAATCTAACTAGCGCATATTGCGCTGCAGAGTTAATTTGATTAGTCTGGCCACTTGGAACTGGAAGGAAGGTCATAGATCACTCTTGTTGGGTTTTGTAAAATAGCTTCCACTCTGCGATTCAAAATCGAAATCTCGTCAATTATTAAAGCGGAGTGACTTTCATGGAATCTAAAGTATTCGAAATGTTTGAAATAAGAGTTTGAAAGGGTCTCCATGAATTCGTGTGTCAATTAGGACCATTCTCTGTAAATGTAAAAGATAAGACACTTACTATAAACAAAATTAAATCTGCTAATATCGGTTTATTTATTGCATTCGTCTCGTGATATGCTCGCTTGTCCGTATTGATTTGTTATTGACTTTTCGCCATCTTTATTCCTGGAAAATTTATTATCCAACTTCGTACTCATTTACCCATTTTCAAGGTTAAAAACCGGGGTATATTTTCATTATAAGTTATTTCATAACTTTAAATCGATTTTGTGACTTGAGTGCCTGGGATGTGTATTACAAATAAAAGATGCCTATTTTTAACTATCCACCGTTAATAGCTGTTTGTTATTTTGGTCAGTGTAACTATTTACGTTAAATGGCAAGCTGACTCCTTCAGTTATTTGTCAATAGATTATTGGTTTAAGTAAATTCTTAATTGTCTGTTTTTCTCATTCTTGCACCTTGATGAATCAGAACTAGATACAAACTCCACCCTATGCACATACTGATTTCATATTCTATCGATTCCTCTTCTTTTTTTCACTTAGAAACCGATATATAGAGGTATAAATTATTCTTATTTCTATTCCCTCAAGATACAGTATAATGTTTTGTACTGACTTCCTAATCTGTTGTCCGCATTAGTCCGGTAAGGAATTTTATTTGGCTGGTCGTGTATTTCTTTGTGGTAAAATGCGGTCTATGGGACTGATGTCGGAGAGATAAGATCACATATGATTAGTAAATGCTGCTAGGTGGGGGTGGGGGGGGGCGGAACTTCGAAATAAAGTGGCGAGTGAAATCGCCTTGTACGTTTCTATGCCATAACACCCCCCCCCCATTTATACTTCTGGAAATCAGCCGATATATCTGAAACTGTGGTAAGCAAGTTACTAATATGCCCTTGCTATGAATATGTCCAGTATCTTGGTTGTCTGCATTTATTGAAATCATCATAATTTTAGAAGTTATTTTGACCATACCGAGGCTAGATAGTTTCTCCTAACAAACAAAGATGTTCGATTCTTTTTTCATGAATATATTGGGGGGGGGGGGGGGTAAGAAAATTGGCAATTGTTCGGTACAGGCCGTAATAAAATAAACATGCCATTATGTCTTCATTCATCCGAATTCCACGATATTCATTATGTCTGTTTGTTTCTGAATTAAAGCTTCAGGATTTCGTCAACATATAACAGAATAGCAGATCCTTTTACAGTATTCAGGTGAAATTGTCCAAGTCAACTCTGTGTATCTGCTAACTTGGATATTGAAACAGTGACAACTGAACCTAGCTCACTGTGTTGTACTTTATAGTACTGTTATTATACTGTTGGCATGGAAAAATGGAAACGTTTAGAATGAAGTTTGGGAGATGAGTTAAGGCTTCCTGTGGTTTTCAAAAAAGATCGATCAGGAGTGAGATGAGTTATTGTTCTGTCGTTTCTCTACTCCACTTCTCAGTTCAATGGTGATTATGAAAATTGTAGATCGATCAGCTTCATGAGATGGTAAACTCGATCCAGCCATTTCGATGGTACATTTTTTTCTGTTCTTCCTCTCTAACCATGGCCTTTAACTCAGTTGTTTCAAGTTTCAATCAAATAGTGGATAGGGGGGAGTGTACGTACGGATGCGTTGGGAGCGACATTGTCCCTTGCCAAGTTGTCTCGTTCGCTATCGTTGATTGGGCGCTTTTAACAATACTATTGACCCTGTCTCCATCTCTCTCCCTATCTCTCTCTCGCCCCTCCCCCTCTCCTACACTTCAAAGCACGCCTCTATTGGACGGCTTTTGTTGATGTTGAAATTGTCGTATGACTCTTTACATTTGAATTCTTATAGGCCGCGATTTCGTAACCCTTAAGTTTTGGGCTCACATTTTTTGCAACTAATCTGATAAATCTGAAAAGAATTAGATATTCATCTAAGGTCACCTGCCAATATAACCTCTTAGAAGGCAAAATTGCTAATTCATTTGACCTCGAGACCTTTTGCTTGTCGAATTCTCGTTTTACAAATAGCACGTCGTTTTCATCAGTTCAATTAAAGCTCCTTTAGATCATAGGATTTGCATCTTTCAAAATTTAAAATTTCATTTAAACTAGGACATTATGCCTTCAGGAATTTTCTTCTTTAGCTCCTAGCTTTGCTCTTGACAAATTTACAAAATGGGTAGGGGGGGGGGGGCTTATCCGGTATTCGAATACTTTAAAACCTTCTAATTCTGAAGTTTTTTGGAATGCTGAGTCTGTTGAGGGCAAATTTTTAAGTCGCTAAGTCAAGAGAAATAAGCATTAGGCGTTCACAATACGAATACGAATTGTGCATTAAAATGTGTGGTCTTAACGGGACAATCATTCACTATTGAAAGGTAGAACATGAAGATATCTTAATTGGAAAATAGGGATTTCTCTGGAGATTTAGTCCCAACTTGCACCTCTTTGTCCCTAACATCCTCAGGTTTGGTAATTATTATTAGGTAATCGCAGGAAATCGTACAACTTTTCATGACAACAAATTTGAACTCCCTTGTAGCTTCATGATCAGTTGTTCACGGACCAAATCTAAGTTGTCCGACGTCAGAAGAAAATTACCTTCCGATATTGAACTAGTTTAAAGGAAGGGTGTTTCGAAGAAAATGCCTTCCAATACTTGACTATGACAGAGAGGTGTTGCTATTGTGCCTCTCCCTCTGTTGAAACATTTGCATTTTAATAAATAGTAGCTTGCTGAAGTGCCGTTATTATGCACAAATTGTCTCAAATCATATCAGTTAGAGTACTAATTATGATTTTCGACGTATCTTTGTCTTGATCTCTTGGAAATCTATTTAGAGTTGAGTTGGATTTGATCGTAATTTGATGGTAGTTGGCTATGGTGTTAAGAAGGATTAAATGTTAAGTAACCTTCCCTTTTGTTGGTACGGAATCGCTAAATCCTTATGATTTTTTTGCATTTGTACTGCATCAGTCCATTCAGATATTTATTTATTTATATCAAATGGCAGGCATTTTGATAGTTATCATTAGCCCTGTGGTTGACTTCAGGCTTCACAGAGGGGTGGGAATAGAAGAGGGTTTCAAAGATATAAAAGAGATAGACACAAAGGTAGAAAAAAGGTGAGATGAGTACTATGGAAGTAGTCGAATATAATATACAGTGGGGTGATGGTAGTTTGAAGTCAGAAGTCAACTTCCTATTGATAGACATTTTTGCCGTATGAGTATATGTTGCAAAGGGTACACCACGTGGAGGTAAGTCTATCGCGCACCCCGTCCATTCAGATATAAAATTTTGTCATTGCATTTTACCGTTCTCGTAGACTTCTTTTATCTAACAGATTTGCAACAGTGCTAAGCTTGCTTGTAAAAAATTAACACCAAGCTGAGTTTTTCCTATTGGCACTAAAATATCGATCAGAGCAGCAAGTACACAATAGCCCATATCCACAATGTGTTCCAGACACATGATTACCATCTATCTTGTCGCACTATAATCATCAAGTCAACGCATAGTCGTAAAAAATGCCATGCGCCAACCAAAGGCACTTTTTATTGCTCATCGTGGTAGGCTTGCACATCCGCAGACATTATCTCCTCTCTAGCTGGCTTAGGCGTAGAATACGAAGAAGAGGCAGCTTCTTTTCGCTTTACGCAGATGATGATACATCCTACTACTTTCGACTGAGGCCTAATTTGCGTGCACGTCTGCGTCCAAAAAATCATTGCACATTTTGTCTTGTATTAGGTTTCTCATATGCGCCAGCGGCCACGTGCGTGCGTGCTGCCTTCACTGCACACGTTCGCACTTGCACTGTGTGTGTGTACGTCCACGCGGGTGGATCGATAAACCGCTTGCGGTGTGATAGTTAGCGGCCTTAATCAGTGCATGTGCAACAGGGTGCGCACATCTGATGCGAGGCCGTAAAGACAGTTTTTTGCGGATGGGGGTATTTATTAGCTGCTAACACATCATTTGACCTCTGATGCTTCGTCACCCTAGTAGTCAAATTGAGGGTTCTTTTTTTTTAAACAAGAGTGATAAGTTCGCACAGCTAAGTTCGGTTTCCTGCTCTTCACATTTGACAAGAGATTCAGATATTCCGAGATATGTAGACTAAGGGGTGTTTCTTGTAATCATCATTCAAGTCATAAGTCGATTAGCTTTAATATAGTGCGTAAAAATGTTGTTTTGTAAAACTTAAATGTTACCATTTTGTCATTTGGAAATACACGGTGTGGGTGAAAGCAGAAAAATGTAGAAATCAAGACTGATTTTAATTTGCCTTATTTCCTACTGCAAGTGTAATTAAAGATGCTTTTTCACCAATTCAGACAAACAAACAATTAAACGATGCTTTTTCACAAAACGAAATATTTGTACATTGTTGGGTACGATGGTGATGTATCACCTAAAGCTATTATTGTTCACTGGGTGGTCCCTATAGCAGTGATTTGGGTAGTTGATTGCTGATCGATTTCAATCAGTTGAAAGGTCAAGTAAATAGTATAATGGTTTGTAAACAGTAAAATCTCATCTTCTAACACTTGTGACCAATTTCAAATAGTAGATCTTTATAAGCAGTACCTAATTTATCTGCTACATATCTTTGCACTGTTTCACCGCAATGGTTTAAGCAATTTATATCAATGACGCACTCTGCCACCATTCTGTACTCTAATTTTTGAAGCTAATTCATACGTGATTCACTTTAATTAAATAATTGGCCGCTACTGTCTAACCCTTTCACAATTTCTAATTAAAGGCATTAATATTTTTACGGTAATTTCATTTAAATTTTAGATGACGGCTTCTCTGGTTTTACAGCTGGGTCACTTGGCAGACCACCATCAAAAGCTGAAAATGTGAGTTCCGAAGGAAGTTTGCGAGTTTCTATCTTCCAAAATTCTCGTTTGCGAGATCCAGACTTAAAATTGAAGAGCTTTTACTATTTCTATGCACCTGAGCGCCAAGAGTATGCAAGGTAGTAAGGAGATGGGGTAATTAGAGAAAACAGCAGCCTCTTAATCATTTGTCAAAAAAGTGGTTCAGTGCCAGGCATAAGAGGGAGATAAAAGCGAAAAATACCTTACAGGTCTGGAAATGAGTCACATACGAATTAATTTAGATGATACCTATATAAAATTTGCAAACATAGGAAATCCATCTGGTAGTTAGGGCCCTAACGGTTTTTTGAAGGCCTGAAGGTGCACACGTGTTTGCTTAATGTGGTCAGGGCTCGGCCAAACGAAAGAGAGTTCAGTTTCAATTTGTCTTTTTTGGCATCCAAAAGATGAATCATCGCACCGAGATTGGAGCTGCCACATGTACGCCAGTGGTGTGGCCTAGTTTGGGACTCACATGATTGTGCTGCAAGAGGATCATGTAACGTGTTCGCTCTACAGGAACTCGTACACACACATACACACGCACACACACACCCTGCGCTGTTTACTGTACACATCTCTTAACTGCTGCTTGCATAACCAGAAGACTACTAACTAGTTGGCGGTTAGGCATCAATAGTTAGTTGGGAAATCCCCAACGGTTATTATAGCTGTACAGCGTTGTCAACCTAAATTTAACTCAAATTTCAGAACCGAGGATTGTACAAAATGTTTGTGATTCGGATACAAATGGTAAATTAAAACTGCTTACTGGGTATAAGTAGTAAATCATTGAGAGAGAGAGAGAGAGACATAGGTGGCCATAATATGTTCTTCAATCTCCCGCATAAATCTACCAACTGCAACATCGTCGTCCGTATCGGCCTGTCATATTTCATTTGCATTCTCACTCCTCTCTTCTGCGAATTTATTTCGCCCTAAGGAAGAATTATGACCACTTTTTAATTTACGAAATTCCCTGCACTTATGGCAAACAACTGTCGTTGTCATGTAATATTCACTGGTTTTCAAGATAAGCCATTAGTGGGTTAGATATTTAGATGGTACTTGTCGAGAGAGAGATTTGAGATACCTCTAGGACGAGACTGACTTAGACTCTGTAATGAGGTAGTTTCATCACCTACCTCGTACTCCTCGCAGGGTTCCCATAGTTTCAATAAAGATATTACTGAATTGATTATTTAAGTAGCAGGTATGGATATGGATTTGACTATATTTGTATTTTAGAACATTGATGGTGCGTCATCCACAGTTAGTCCAACGTCTGCTGCTCCTGAAAATCTTTCACCGGATGGCAAGCCTTCTGCTAGTTCCCAGACCACCAGTGATGCCCAGGCATTGGCTATGCTAATCCAAGACCAACTGGATGCAATCAACAATGAGATCAAGTTGATTCAGGTACATTTTATGCTTTTGGCTTGATTGAACGTTAGTAGCTGATAAAGATAAAGCTAAAAAATCAAAATTTACGTTTTCTCTAGTCCTGCAGCTCTAACTCATAGCCTTGGCACCTATTTATTTTTGTAATAAATAATTGACTAATCCGTCGACCAAATGCAAACTGATCAATCAGGAGGATTTCTAATATTTCTCCCTGTTTTCCTTCACATCACTGAAATGCGTTCTCTGATCTGGGATTTGAAAAATATAACACTAGAAATGGCTTCCTATTTGTAAGGGGGCCTGAGTTAGAGACCAGCATTGTGTCGATAGTAATTAAGGTCAATTGCAAGGAGACATGAAAAAGGTAAAGGGGAAAAGAGCGAAGAAATGGAAAAAAGGAGACATACGAATGATAAGGAGACAGTTATGTTTTCCGTCTGAAAATAGTCTGGTCTGATGAATCTGACAGACTAGGAATAAAGAACGCTCACAGTCTTGCGCTTTTTATTGTCTGCAGTAGCATTAATAAAGGAAAATTTCATTGTATTGAGTGATAGGGTGTCCATTCGAAAATTCATATTTGAAATACGACGTGCATATGGGGTGTTTTTATGATCGTTCGCATTGTTAGTCTAAAAAGTGATGACAGAATTGAGCATTTTTAAAAAATGGGGGGTGGGTGGGTTATCTTAGTGTTTGTTCATTAGCCACAATTATGGTTTAGTAAAATAATATCAAAATGCAAATTCTGATCCAACTCACTTCCGAACTCAGCTATTTCAACTGAAGTTGAAAGTGGTAAATCTGAAGGGGGTTATAAACTACTTCGATTGATTAATGCTTTCGTGGAAATAAGTTAAATCCCATAATATAAATATTAAATAAAAGCATCTGATGCCTATAGGAGGAAAAGCAGAATACTGAACAACTCGCAGAAGAGTTGGAATCCCGAGTAGTGCAACAATCGAATCCCTACCTCTTTGAGTCCACTACTGCTGTTGGAGGCCAGCAACAAATGGGCGGCGCAAATCACGCAAATTCCGCTTCTGTACCTCCTCACCTCCCCGGTTTCGGTCCAACTGGTTGGTCGCCTCCCCCATCTCCTCTTACAGCACGTGTTGGTACACCCACAACCCTCCACACTGTCATGACCACTGGTTATGGGACAGCTATGGTACCCCCGCATCGGGTCACTACCGCTGCTGGATCCCATTCCTATGCCACTGGTCGGGCAGGTCCTCTATTCCCCTCTGGTACCCCAGCTCCCCAACGCGCCAACTCTGCCATGGCCCAGCTTCTTTGCCAGGTTAGTCTGCCAGCCACTATCATGTTGTCTCAACCTAAATGTTGTATCGTCTACCCATGCCCAACACCTAATACTTTCAGCCGCAAAAGCCGAACGAATTTGGAATTAACTCTCCAGGTAATTTCAAACGCCATGGTTCGAACCCCGGTGTCAATGAAATGATGAGTAATAACATCAGTAATGCCCAGGAAAGTCCGTATGAGTTCGGACCGGACAATGTCAGTATTAGCCAGTTACCTATGTGGCGCCCGGATAACAATGGCCAGAAGGTATATATATATATATATATATGCACATATAACATATGGAGACGCCAATAATCCTGCTTTTCTATGTGCACTGTGAAAACCACGACTAAATGAGCGATTTGCATGCTTGTTTTAATGTTTAAATTATGCACGAATGTTGCACGGGAGGTGTTTGCAGCATCTGCACGCGCTACTTGATTCATTAACTATTTTTTTTGCTGCACCCATAGCCTGATATATTTTTAGCTCATTATCCATCATTTACTTACGACAATTTCTGGAGGCAACGTCAAAAAATATTAAGAGAGTGGAGTAAGCATATAGTTGCACACCTACTTTAAGAATTCATAATCAATCATAATTAGGTAAGTGGAAGTCGAGGGTCCTGACCGATGCCACCAGTGAAGGTGAATCAGATTACTTTTAATAATGCAATGAGATTCATGTTCTTCATTTTGATCTTTATGTAGATCTTGTGGGGTTACTCCAAGCCTACGGTGATTCTTTAGGTAGTCAATCGTAATTACAACTACCTGTGGTGGATAGCATCCAATGTCTACTAGGCCAACTGGTCGATATTCGTCAGCCCATTTGTGGCATTTCGAAATGTCTACCTTACCTATTGAACAAAATCAGCAGGATTCAGGATTGTATTCCTTTATCCAAGTTAATTGTAGCTACCATTTTCCTTTCCAGTAACTGAAGGAAACATCACCTGGGGAATCTAATAATTTCAAATAGTTACCACTTTGCTATATCGCATAGTAATCACATTTTCGAGAGTAATTTTGTCCGCTGATTAGATAATTGTTCACATCCGGCGGATATTCTGAAAATGGAAAATTTTTATTAAATTGTTAATCCTGCCTTCCGTAATAATTCTGTTTTATAGTTCATGAACAATAGTATCCATTTGCACGTTTGGTTTGACTTCAAGGCTTAAATTTTCCAGTGGTGATAGAAAATACATTGCATTTTTAATACCCCCCCCCCGTCAAAGCCGATGACTTTCTCGCTTTTGGATGCTAAAACTATTATCCGCCTCTCTAGTGCCCTGCCCTCATTTGCACAAAATTAATCTATTCCATGATTGGCTATCCAACTTATGGTTCAATTTTTAGGTTCCTGAAGACCTCTCATATCCTGCTCAACGAGCTTCAAGCAGTATGGGACAGCCATATCCAAGCCAATCTGTTAACGGCGTCAGCGCTCCCTCACCCCTTAGACAATCTACCAACTCCAATACTACTCATATTTTGTAAGTTTACTCTCAAACTCCCACTCTTGATTGTTGACTCTGATTTGCGCTTACTGTGATAACAATATATTGTTGTGATTAATCGTCGTAAACAAAAATAGCAGCAATGGACGGAATCGCAGCTTGCAGCGTTTAATGGAAGCCGAAGCTTTGCGCTTGAATGAAAGTGGACGCCCAAATTCGGCCAGTCCAGTTCCACCCAAACCTCAAATCCGCATGACGTCTACGACTTCCCCTGCCCAGCAAAAACCCTCCCAAGATGCCGTTGGAACTGATACCAACAGCAGACGTCATTCTGTTCCCTCGTACAGAATTGTTGCTTCTAGTAGCGCTGCCAATGCTGCTCCACCATCTAGGTATCGCATCCGCTCGTGCTGAATAGACCGCATTTGCAAGCATGATTAAGAATTTATGTATAATTTGGAGCCTGATTTAAAGAGTGCATGACCTTATGAAGGAATGAGATTACTTATTTTTTACACTTATATTCACATTTTGAATGAACATATTCCCTCTTAGACATCCTTACAGAACTATGATGGGAAATGTCCCAGTAGCGACCTCTGGTGCCTTGCTAGAGAGTCCAGGTTCGAGTGCGAGCTCAAAATCCGATCCTGCTTCAGTGACAAAGCAAATAAATCAAGGAGGTTTGGTGCCGGCTTCCTCACCCTACAATACTCACTTTCCACATGAGGGAGATGTTCCTCTAATGAACACACATCATCATCACCATCCCCATCAGCATTATCCAACTTCCACGACTACTCCATCCACAACTACAATGGGAATACCTGGAACTCCAAAACCAATGTACCTTCAACGTGTTGGTCCAGGCAGTTCACAATTTGCTCCCTCACCAACTCCCACTAAGAAGAAATCGATAACAGGCACACTGGGTCGAATCTTTAAGCGGGGTGGGAAGGATCAACCACAGATCGGTCTGCCTCAAAGCCCTGTATTCCATCGCCAACAGCGCTTGGCTTCCACTTCACCATCACTGGGTATTGCCTATAATTCTCAAGCTGCTGCACAAATGCAGCAGAAACAGCTACTTCAACACCAGCAACAGCAGCATTTACAATTCCTCCGGCATAAAGAAATGCAGCAGCAACACCTCTATCAGCTAGCTCAGCGTCAGCAACAACAGCAGCAGCAGTTGCAACAACAGGGTAAACACTAACTACTTCAATGTAATATTTAGTACTATTCATGAAGGTAACATTCATGCAATCTTAATTTAAAGTTTCGGAACCTAACTACAGTGGCAGTGGTGAAGGTCATTTTCAGTTGCCTGTTCAAATCACTTAGATGAGCCAATGGGTCTCATGTCCACACCTGTATTTTTCATAGCGAATTCGGTCTCTGAGCTATGTCTAGAATATTATAAGCGTGTCTTTTTACCTTTTCTGCATTGCATATTATTTTTGCAGTTAAATTAGTTCTTTATGAGAAAATGATTTTTGTCGGTGAACGTGTTTGATAATTTTGATGCTTTTGTTTATAACCTGAGGCAATAGTGAGCAGAGTTCAATTTTCCAGGCACTTTAACCAACCAGAGTGAAGTATAAGAAAGGCGAGTGAGCTGTGTATGGACACGTCGTAGTTTAACTTTGCTTCATATAACTTCTTTTCAATTATCTGTTTACACTTATGTTTTTGAATTTAGTTCATATTTAGGGGCGAGTTGGTCTATTAATGCTCGTATTAACATAAAATCAAACATGACGGATGGTTTGAAATAGTTTTTTTCTGTTTCTATTCTTTGTTAAGTCAATTTTTTTTGATCCCACAAGCAATCTTGCACCAGAAACAGCTCTGGATGAAAATAGCTAACTACATCATTCCCGTCCTTATTATTCCAGGGTGTTTTAGCTGGTACTAGGTGAGACAAATTTCTTACCCTGATGAAAGTTATTGAAAACTACGTTAAATACTTTGAAAGCAAGCGTGCCTTCCTTGGATCAAATATTGGTACATTTTACCAAGTTACAGTTGTCTGAGGAGTCAAAGAGAGAGACCGTGACAAGTTTGATAGTTAAACACTTGTTTTGGAATAATTGTCTCCTCTCATCATCGATCAGCTCATTAGTATCTTGTGCAAAGTCAAAACAGAGTCAAGTTTTTTGGAATCTCTACATTCGATTCTGGTGATATTATATTTAACGCAGTGCAACTCAACAATGACCTTTTAGTGTCCCCAGAACTTCATCGCCTTAATTCTTCTTCTTCTTCAACTAATTCCTATCTACTTCGAAATTCAGTAATTTGTATGAATCTCTTAGCTTGCGTGTGACATTGTTAATCAAATTAAGTTGTAAAAACGTTTAAGTAACAAATGCACTCCAAAATGTAAGTTTCCTAGCGTTTGCTGGGGATATGCAAAAATTACACATCAGATTATATTGCCTAGGTACGAACCAAAGCTTGGAAATGTATCTAAGAGGGAATTTTTTTTTCTATCAATATTGGAAGTAAAGTACCATTTTATTTTGGAAACAGGTAGGTAATTTGTATTCCCTCTATTTCTCCATATGGATCTATTGGAAATTAGTCTGCTGAATATCAACTGAAGTAACGACCGGAGTTAGTAAAGACCCTGTAAATTGGAAAATGTGGAAGCACAGATATGTGTGCAATGATAGGTCTTCTGACCTAGCCAATGATGAGTCCAATCATTGGCCGATATCAACGTAAAATTTACTAAATTATGTTAATATGTAAAGTCAGCCAGAAGGAAGTACTTACGAGCAGAATTTGAAGTCATTAAGAGGCTTTTAAACTTTTTTTATGTCAATACCGATCCATTGATGCTTACCCTGGGAATAAAGGCACTAGTTCTACTTTCGTTGCCACAGTTAAGCTACCCTTGGTGGATCATTCAATTCGACCCTAGACACATGTTGTCTTTTCGTCCTTATACTGAAAGGATAATGATACATACTAGGGGTTACGTGATCTGTCCAAATTAAGTGAAACTGGCCGTAGTAGGCATTATGCGCTGAAAAATCTAGGCCATTGATATCACAACTTATCGGCTGTCATTATTACACCAAATAATGCATAAAGGTGATGGTTTAATCGTGGAGAAATGATTGAAATCAATTTAAAGAAGAAAATTCAATAAGTGAGTAGGGGGGGG